GTTTTTATGTTCTTTTAATCGTTAATCGAATGAATTTTAAAAATTCAAACAGATTAGAAAACCATAAAGGTTTTAATCTCCAGAAACCTCAAATACAGAAACTAATAAATTTCTTATGCTTGTTATCTCCTGTATTAAGGTTAGCAAAACAGAAACAGAAAAAGAGGAAACAAACAGAATATAAATAATTCGAGTCCACAGAACCAACTGTGTTTTCTTAAGAAATTTAATCCCTCAAGTACCCGAGGTTGTAGATTAATTCCTCCCAAGATAAAACAAATTAACCTATTAGAGAAGTAGCGGTACCTCAAACTTCAATAATTTAAGCGAACGCAAGAATAGCAACGAGAGCACACACAGACTCAGTCGATCGACAATTTTGTTTTTGTAAGAAAATGTATGCAGAGATGAAAAAAATTCAGTATTGAAAAACGGAAAAAAGACTCTATTTATAGCCACTTGCAGCAAAGAACGTGTCTGTTCGGACAATGATGTGTCTTTCCAGAACGTTGCGTCTTTTGGAAAAAATAACATCTTTTCGGAAGGAACGGGTCCCTTTAGAATGACGTTATCGTTACACGCGAATTTTAAATAAATTCCGTTATGCGAAATTAATTTTGTTAATTAACTAACATTCTAAATTAATTTATAAGAGAAAGGAAATCAATTAATGAGTTTGATTAAATAAATTTTGTCCAAAAATATTATCAATCAATCACATCCAAATCCAAAGCCGAGCGACGATGACGGCGCGAGGGGTACCTTCTTCTTAATCCTTTAAGAAACTAAAAGAAGTGTTTCTTAATATAATGACAACAATTTTTCTTTCTTCTACCAATATGAGAGAAAAGACTTTTCATTTGCAAAGACTTTTCATTTGAAATGACTTTTCATTTTCCCTCCAAAATTGGTTTTCTCACATTTTATATTTTCTCTTCTTATTTCTCATTCACACCTTGCTAAAACCCAACAAATATTACATTCTCTATCAAACTATTTATCAGGAAAAAAAAAGAGGGAGAAAGTGAACGTAATTTATTTTTTTTAAGAAAAAAAATACGATGGTGCACATATTTGGTGTGTGTGAATAGGAATATTTAGAGAAGACAACCCGGGGAGGGGGAGGAGCGTATTTTGCAGAACATAAATTAGGGAGGGGTATTTCGGGGGTTGGGGTGGGGTGGGTGGGGAAGGACAGTTTTCTACAAAACGAATAGGGATATTTGGAGAAGACGCTGGGGCTATTTGGAGAAGACAACATTGGGGTGGGATTGGGGGGAGGCGGGCAGAGATTTGGGGGTGGTTTTTCTTTTATTGATTTAAATTTTATTTTATTTTGTAATTATTTGGGTCATGCGTCATTAACTCATTGGTCAATTTTTATTTTTACTCAAAATTAATTATTTAAAAATTATTTTTGTTTAATTTGTCACTTTATACATCATTCGTGAGTGTAACACACACATTATATATTTTTGTTAATATTCAAAAAGGTGTTAAAATGACACAGCCTACATGAGGTGTCTAAAATGAACATCGTCTAGTTAAGATGTCTAAGTGAAATATTGTGCCAACTTTAGAGGGCCACCGATGAGTTATGCCAAAGTTTTATAAAGAAAAGTTGATACCATATTACATGAACTATTTTTTTGGTATTTAACTTATAGGTGTTTAGAGAAAACTGGTCACTGCTATTATTTCTTTATAGTTTCAACAACTCTTTTTTTTCACGTTGCTCAAGTTTGATAATTTAGACAAAGTCAGACACTGAAAGAAAGCTGTTAGGAAATTAAATGATCAGTTGAAATAATTTTAGTGGACAACTAAATGTCGAGCAAAATAAGTATGACTCTTACAAGCCTATTCTTGAAATATCACATGAAAAACAAATTCGAACATAAAAGAATAAAATGTGGGACACCTGAAGATGTTTCATGAATCTAATCTTCATTTTCTTTATTTTATCTAATTAAATACCTGAAGATTGAACATCCAATTCTTGACCAATCTTGCTCCAAGAAAATTTAACTAAAAGAAACACAATCGTCCTGATAACGTGTTGTAAAACTAAAGCAAAATAAGACAAGAAATATAAAAGATGAAAACGATAGAAATAGGGAGACAAGAGATCGATGAGAGTTTTTCTTATTCTTCCAAGTATTCAAGTTTTCCCCAAAATCTTTAAGTGTATCCAATATGAATTATAATGCCTCTATTCGTATTAAATAGAGACATACAAAAGGTTAATCATAAACAGGACATTGAACATGTAAGTTATGGAGGAACATCAAGAAGGAAGTTATGGAGGTGTGAGCAATGGCGTACCCACCTTTACGCTTGACACCCCTTCGTCGGAAGATTACATTGTATAGAGAGGTTAAACTTTGGTTTACTAAATACATATGTAAGCATTGACACCTCTTGACACAAGTTAAATGTTTAAATTTAGTCATACTATCCTCATAATAATATTTTTTACTACAACTATTGACACCCCTTAATATCAATCTTGGGTCCGCTACTAGGTGTGTGAGTAACTATACATTATGGTGTAATTACACCTTGAAGTTATGGACATCCACATAAATATATGTATAACATAACATATATTATTTGAAAATTATATTAATTAAGAACATTATAAATCAAAATAATTAAAAATTTAAAAATCAAATTAAAAATTAGGTTGACTCTCAAAGTTTCTCATAAGCCACATAAATTGGGACAAAGTGAGTAACATATATTATTTAATAATTACGTTAAAAGTATTGTAAATTACAATAATTAACAACTTAAAATATTTAAAAATTATATTAGAATTTTGTTAACTCTCTTAATTCTATCCATACAACATTAATTGAGATAAATAAAATAATATATATTAGGTCGGTGTTTGCACCTGCTCTTGTATTTATTTACACTTAATACGTGGCTAAGCAACGTATTAGCTGATTACATGTGGCCTTTTGAGCTTAAAAAAAGAAAAATCCATTGTAAAATATATTGAATAAATAAAATAATATTCTGAAAATATAACTTAATTTACACTCAATGTGAAAAAATAATTTGGAGCTTTTGAAAAAACAAAAACAAACATCTGAAAAAAAATATAAAATAAAATTTATTTAACAAACAAAATAAAATAACATACTCAAAAAAATTAAAATGAAATTTAAAAAGTTCGCAACTTCTGAAAAAATAATGGAAAAATTTTTAGGAAAGAAATTTGGAAAACTTCCTTTGGAATTTTTTCAACGTTTAGACTTTAATGGGTTTTTTTTTGTTTTTTTGTTATTGCTATTGGTTTTGAGCATCTATTTGGTGTGAAATTCCCAGAACTTGCCGAGTCA